AAGAAGCCCCTGTAGATAGTAGGAGGTTACCTAGCTGAACACAGATAATAGGAGCAGGTAACCCCCTCACAACACTCTTCTTCTGTCGGACTATGCTTTGCCATTGTCCCCTGATCACACAGACGAGTCCTGATCCAGGGCACTAATTCACCCTTTTTATTGCTGAGTAGTATTCCATGGTATAAAAATACCATGGCAAACATTTGGGTTGTTCCCAGTTTAAGCTTTTATAAATAAACTTACTATGAACATGTCTTTTGTTTGAAATATTCACTCAGTTCTTTTGGATTCTGCAATAGACTTTTAAAACTCCATACTTAAGCCGAATTTTATAGACATCCTCATTTAAAATAGCTGACAGCTATCACTCATGACTTTGGTGCCAGTGGTTAGGACTGACTCAGAAATGGGGGTTCGTTGGTCAGACTTACGGTAAAACATTCTCCTTAGTAAGGACACTTGAGTTGCTGATTGATCCAGCTGTGGGTTGCGTGTGACTTCCGCTCAGAGAGGATGCTACCAACGCGGGAATAACTTGAAAATTGGCCGTCGGTGTCTCACACTGGCATGCCCTTCTCTGTAGGATTCGGTCACACGACACAATTTCCTTCGCCTGAGGTGTTTGGGGTCTGATCTTCCCTACAATAGGGAGTCCAGCTCCTCTAAACCGAAGACTTTCTTTCTTTTTAAGATTTTATTTATTTATTTGAGAGAGAATGAGAGAGAGAGAGCATGAGAGAGGGGAGGGTCAGAGGGAGAAGCAGGCTCAGCCTGATGCGGGACACCATCCAGGGACTCCGGGATCATGACCTGAGCTGAAGGCGGTCACTTAACCAACTGAGCCACGCAGGTGCCCTGAAGACTTTCTTTCTACGGCTATTCTTAAAAGTTCAACTCTGGGAAAGTGAGAGCAATAGCACAATAGCAGCCTTTCCCTTGTTAAAAATCAAAGGGTGAAATCCTAGCGAAGGGAGGACAGACGATGGGGGCTGGGCGGGGGACAACGACTCCGTCTGTTAGCAGAGACAAAGCTGACAAGGCATCCAAGACTCGAAGATCTTTAATAGCTTCCTTCAATTGATAAAAGCATGACTTCATTCAGATTTTAAAATCATCTTAAGGTTTTACTAAAAATAAGGGTGAGGGCACCAGGAAAAGATTCTTAAGACTTTCCAGACCCACTAATGCATCAGTTACGTAACTGAGGGCTAAGTCTAGTTGGAGAGCCTGGAGAAACACCTCTCTTGCCTTGGTTTATTTATCTCACTGTGTTTGGTATGTTAAGCAGACTAAAGACACAAGCTGGGCTGTCAGCCAGTGGAATGTGAAATAAAGTATTCTAATTTTTTCTAGAGAGCACATCGCTTGTTTTTTTTTTTTTTTTTGTCTGTTTTTCTCCATATTTTGAAGCACAGGTAAGTACAAGAGCCTGAGCTGACATGGACAAAGGCATGTGAAATCCCAATATGGTTGGCTCTGTTACTGTGGGGCCCCACATAGTTCTTTTTTTTAAGATTTTATTTATTTATTTGACAAACAGACACAGCGAGAGAGGGAACACAAGCAGGGGGAGTGGGAGAGGGAGAAGCAGGCTTCCCTCCGAGCAGGGAGCCTGCCGATGCGGGACTCGATCCCAGGACCCTGGGATCATGACCTGAGCCGAAGGCAGACACTTAACTGACTGAGCCATCTAGGCACCCCGGGCCCCCACATAGTTCTATGCACTGATTTTTTAACATCTTATCACAGTGAAATAACACTCACTAAACTAATTGACCAGCAGAGATAAATGTAGTTTCTCTCATTTTCCCAGGAAGGTAATAAAACATTAACTCACAGGCCCATCAACACTGCGCCACACAGATCTTGAATCTCTATAGTGTGTAGTGTGGCACCAAGTGCAGGAACACCTCATTTTATTGTGCTTTGCTTTATTGTGCTTTGCAGATACTGCATTTTTTTTCTCTCTTTTTTTTTTTTACGAAATGAAGGTCTGTGGCAACCCTGCATCAAGCAAGTCTACTGGCACAGTTTTTCCAACATTTGCTCACTTCGTGTCTCTGTGTCACAATTTGATAATAAATGCTTGCAATCGTTCAAACTTTTGCATTGTTATTCTATCTGTTATGGTGATTTGCAATCAGTGATCTTGGTGCTGCTATTGTCATTGCTTGGGGGCACCACGAATTGCTCTCCTGTGAGGCAATGAACTTAACTGATAGATGTGTACTCTGATTGTTCCACCCACTGGCCATTCCCTGTCCCAGTCCCTCTCCTCGGGCCTCCCTAGTCCCTGAGACACAACAATATTGAAACTAGGCCAATTCGTAATCCTACAATGGCCTCTAAGTGTTCACGTGAAAGAAGGAGTTGCATGTCTCTCACTTTAAATCAAAAGCTAGAAATGATTAAACTTAGCGAGGAAGGGATGTTGAAAACTGAGGCAGGCTGAAAGCGAGGCTTCTTGCGCCAGTTAGCCAAGTTGTGAATGCAAAGGTAAAGTCCTTGAAGGAAATGGAAAGTACTACTTCCGTGAACACATGAATGATAAGAAAGCCGAAACAGCCTTATCGCTGATACAGAGAAAGTTTGAGTGGTCTGGATAGAAGATCAGACCAGCTACAACATTCCCTTAAGCCAAAGCCGAATCCAGAGCCAGGCCCTGACTCTCTTCAATTCTGGGAAGGCTGAGAGAGGTGAGGAAGCTGCAGGAGAAAAGTCTGAATCTAGCAGAGGGTGGATCATGAGGTTTAAGGAAAGAAGCCGCCTCCACGACATCAAAGTGCAAGGTGAAGCAGCAAGTGCTGATGGAGAAGCTGCAGCCAGTGATCCAGAAGATCGAACTAGAACAACGGATGAAGGTGGCTAACTGAAGAACAGATTTTCAATGTAGATGAAACAGCCTTCTAGTGGAAGAAGGTGTCATCTAGGACTTTCACAGTTAGAGAGAAGTCAATGCCTGGCTTCAAAGCTTCAGAGGACAGGCTGGGTCTCTTATTAGAGGCTACTGCAGCTGGTGACTTTAACTAGAAGCCAAAGCTCCTTTGCCATTCTGACAATCCTAGGGCCCTGAAGAATTATGCTAAATCTACTCTGCCTGTGCTCTAGAAATGGAACAGCAAATCCTGGATGACAGCCTGTTGTTTTGTTTTTTTTTTAAAGATTTATTTATTTATTTATTTAACAGAGATAGAGAGAGAGCATAAGTAGGCAGAGCGGCAGACAGAGGGAGAGGGAGAAGCAGGCTCTCTGCCGAGCAGGGAGCCCGATGCGGGACTCGATCCCAGGACCCTGGGATCATGACCTGAGCTGAAGGCAGACACTTAACGACTGAGCCACCCAGGCGCCCCACAATCCTTCTATTTCTATTGATGTTATTCATGATCCGCAGACCGCACCCGGTCACTACCCCTGAGGCTCAGCCAGTTCTAGCATTGAAACCACTTTGTGCAATTAGGACCTCAATTTCTTACCCTCTAATCTGCAGTACCCACCCCAAAGTGTATCTCTGTGGGATCCCAAGTAGCCTGCCATTTGGGGGAGTGCTCTTGTCCTCTGACTAGGTCTCCTGTGTGGGAGAATGATGAGACAAAACTTTCCTGTGGTTGCCAAGGGTGGGGGCAGCAGGGGAGGGGGGAAGCCAGAATGGCCATGGAGTTCTCCAGATACCTGATGTTATCGATGCAAATATTTACAGTTGTGCAAAACCATCAGTTATTGCAGACAACAAAGCTACTGCATGGGACTGAAGAGCCAGCAGCACCACGGGTAATAAAAATAGAAATTAAGACACACACAGATCAGTATATGGTGATGGATGTGTTAACTAGAAGGGGGGAATCCTTCCACAATGTCTATGGATAGCGAATCATCACAGTGTACATTTCTGTTTTCAAAGTTTCTGTTTTAAGTATCTTCCATGACTCTCCCAGGAATTTTTGTCTGAATGAGAAACCTTGTGGGATCATTACAAAAGTTCTCCATAGTTGAAATAATGAAATCATAAAGCTTAAAGATCTACTCAGGCTTCCAAGTATCAATATATTTACCAACAAAGCTGAATTACTCACTCTAAAATTCCATGCTATTAAAAATCACATAGAAACAATCCACTTCTGATTAAAAACAAACAGGAAAAAAGACCAAAGGCAAGTTGGGTAGTACATTATTTTGAATTAAAACATGGAATATGTCATCAAACAAATGGATGTACTGACAACTTTTTTAGCTCAATTAACAAATGATTTGCATAGGAATTGCTAGTTCTGTCTTAGGATGCAGAGCTCATTGAATTGTGAATTAGATTAACATAAAACAAGAATAAAAAAATAACCATTTACCTGTATGCCAAATAAATGCAATTTTACTTCAAATAGCAGATTTTTGTTCAGTCTTTGGTGAGTGGTTAATATAATCATCTTCCCTGCTATGGATAATGTCATAATCTCACCAGACCGAATGTGATCCTTCTAAGGTAGAGACCTCTTACCTATAGTAGGAAAACCTCCATTAAGTATTGTTAAAGCTACTGGATCCATTTTTATGGTCCTAGAATTGCTCAACATTTTCTGCTTAAAACAATGGGCCAAGGACAACATATCTTAGGGAAAACACTAAGTTTGTGATTTCATCCCATTTTGTCTTTTAGAACTTTGTTATTACTGTCTATCATACTGTTTTGATTTATATCAGTGATGAGCAACCAGTTTTGGCCTAAGGGCTAACAAAGGGGGAAAAAATGGAAAACATTTAAGACCACACTATTTCCTTTTCAAAATGAACATAGTTTTATGAAATTCCCGTGGGGGAAGTGTATTTGTACTACTTCGCTAAGTAAAGGAAAGTCAGTGAAGAAATTGGCACTGCTTTTTAGCTACTAAAAGGTTTATATCCGGGTATTTTAGCAATACAGACAGAACTTTCTTTAATTTTTTATCCAGAAATTAGATTGCAGACTTGTTGCATAGTTAGGCTGTAGACATCTCTGGGGGCTCTGTGGCTTGATCATTACTGCCTTTATTGACTAAAATAAGCTGATTTTTGTTGATTGATTATTTTATTGATCATAACAAACTTTAAGAGAATATATTCTAATTTCAAAAATTATATTCCATCGCTTACTGACTTAAAGATAATGCTTTTAGTACCACTGCAAGTTGGTTAAAAAAAAAAACAACTTTGGCGACTGCATTTCTTTCCATCTTAACATGTCTTTACACAGAACATTGGCTGGAAACCAGAACAGAACATGAAAAGAAAACCAAAGAATATTTAAATAACAGAAATACCATCAGCGTTTATTATGGTAGATTATAGAAAGATGGTCTAATTTGTGAGTGTGCAATTAGGCACTGACTGAGGCATTTAGACACCATTGATTATAAAGTGCATTGAACATAAATTTTGACTCCCCTCCAAGGAATAATTCAATAAAACTCGGGTTTCTTTCTTGGAATCAATCAGCTCAAGAACATGCATAGATGAACACTTATTAAATACTAATAACAGTCTTTTATTACTTATACTCCTGCAATAGAATAGCAACATATTGTACTTGCATATGTCACATTTTATCCAAGGACCTCAAAGTCATTGGGTCAAGCAATAGGATTACACAGCATATTAAGTTACTTAGTTATGGCATGGGAAGCGGATTCCCAACAATAGAACCAAAATAAAAGTTCAAAGAGACAAGCCTAAATTTCCTGTGGTTTGTAATTTTCTGAGTTTCCAAATTTGCCACTCACATCCTACCGTACCTACCATATTGATTCTAGGTAAAAATGATTTTTTATGTGTTAGGAATGAGATGAGGATCACCTCGCAACTAAACAATTTCTCTTTTTTATAGTTCAACAGTCCATCTTGGAAAATCACATGGTGGAATGTCAGAAGTGGCTCTGTAATGTAAATTTACACATCATTGCTTCAGAATCATGGTTACGATCTTTGGGTAGAAGAAAACATTTTACGCTGGAAGGACATACATCTATGTGTAAAATATGAGGGAGCTATATCTCTTAGCACACTTACAATTAACACAAAAGCAGAAGTGCTTTGATTCACTGAAGATCACACTTTCAGTCTTTTAAAGGCTTTCATCATCTTGCTTAAACCTCTTCCAGGGTTTAACTCTTAGAGTTTAACGGAGAGACCCAACTTAGTGTGGTTTAAAATGAGTTTCTGTGGACTCCACGAACCTGGCAGGCCCCATAGCATTGGAGTTACTGGCCAGCATGAGAAGCCCATGAAAGTGAGGGCAAGGGGTCCCTGAGCCTTTCTGTTCTTGACTCGGGGCACAGAGCCCAGCTCTCCTTGGTCAGGGACCCAGGGTGGGCATTCTGGGCATTTCCTTGCTTAAAGGAATTTCCAACACTATTTGAAAAGCAATTTCTTTTTGGGCAATGGGGTTTCTATCTTTCAGTGAAATATGGAACTAAGTTAGCTCTTCCTGTGTCCTTCTTTACTTCGGAGGAGACGCAGTATACGTTCATTTTTGGTTAGTTCTGCCGGAAGTTCATTGGCCTGAAAGAAGACAAGACAGGCATTGGTGAATTCTCACAGTTGGGATGGTTTTAGGGACTCCAAAGAGGGGCCCCTCACCCAAACTTGCTCCTCCGCTGGTGAAAAACCCCACTGGACTCACTCTTGTTTTAAGGCCTTAAAGGTCTCCTTTAATCATATAAATATCAGCTGCTATTTTCTTATCTCATCATTAGAGTTATTTTTCTTTTTTCTTTTTTTTTTTTTTTAAAGATTTTATTTATTTATTTGACAGAGAAAGACACAGCGAGAGAGGGAACACAAACGGGGAGTGGGAGAGGGAGAAGCAGACTCCCTGCCGAGCAGGGAGCCCAATGCGGGACTCGATCCAGGGACTCCAGGATCATGACCTGAGCTGAAGGCAGTCGCTTAACCAACTGAGCCACCCAGGCGCCCTAGAGTTATTTTTCTAAGCCATATCTCTAGTACATTGTGATCCCCTGGAGGCCAGGGTCCATGTATGATTAATCGTCGTATCCTCATTTCCAGCATAATGCCTGGTGCATCTAGTATGTCCTCAATAAATACTGGTAATGTTAAATTTGATACTTTATATTTAGTATGGGGCAGTGTGTCCGCTAGGGACCTGAGATTCAGGACAGGTATCTGTTGAGAAAACAGAGTTAGGAGGCATTCAGAGAATAAGAGATACCTGGTTAAGAGCAGCTTCTGTGGTCACCACTTCCCCCCATCCCTGGGTTTCACTGAATGTCCTTTCTTCTCATCATGCTGCTGAGACACATTCTTTATGCATCTATTTCATGAGTGGGTCCTTACCCCATGCAATCGACGTTATGGGGCAGTGGTTCTCAAACTTTTTGTTCTCAGGACCTTTTTACACTCTTAAAAATTATTGAGGATCCCAATGAGCTTTTGCTTTTAACTTCTTAGAGATGAAAAGAAGAACATTTAAAAATACCATAATTCATTAAAAATTGTAAATGCACTAGGGTAACATAAATAATACTTACGAAAAACAACCAAATTTTCAAAAACAAAAAAGCTAGTGACAAGAGTAGCATTGTTTAATAGATTTGCATATTTCCTGAGTGTGTAGCTCAACTGAAGACATTTGGATTTTCTTATCTGCTTCTGTATCCAATCTATTGTGATACGTTGTTTTGGTTAAAGCATATGAAGAAAATTCAGCTTTGCACAGATAGGTAGTTGGAAAAGGGAGAAACATTTTAACAGCCTCTTCAGATCGTTGTAGATATCCTCCTTTGATGCTACACCCACACTAAACAAGGGGTAGTTTCTTAAAGGTAACCGCAGTGCGGAATCTGAAACCATATCAATGAGGTTTTTACATTAAAAATCCATAGATCTAATTATCTACAGCTAGAATCTTTCCCCATGTATGATTTGTAACATCACACACTGGCCATTTGGAAAATGTTAGTTCAATGAGATATGCCAAATGTTGACACATTGCATTATACAATCTCAAAAGATCACCTTCATTAATATTAGCGCTGATTCATCAGAAAAGCCTGTATTAAGAAGCTGTCAGACTCACGTGGTGGATACCAGTTGTTCTTTGAAGAAAAAATGGCGCTCTATGGAAAAGCAACTGGCCCACTTTGCTATTCAGACAATGGCGTGAGTGCTTTTCCCTGAGACAACCATTGCGCCTCAGTATACGGCAGAAGGGCTGGATGCATACTTCCATTTCGTTATGTAGAATATTAAAAAGATGTGTAACAAGGGTCCAGATTTAATAAAGGTGAAGCTGTTTACTGCTTCATCAAAGATGTTCTTAAGTAAGTCTGGTATTTGTGTAAAATAATTTACAAAATCTGTACAATGACCCACAGAGTTTTGTAGGATCATTTGCTGGTTTGGTTTATACCCCTGCTTTGATGTGCAAGGTGCCAATAGTTTCACCCACCATTGCTTTTACACCATTAAAGCAAACGCCAGTGTGGTGAAAAGGGCAAATAACATCTTTGTATTATCAAGTGTGCTGTTTTGACTTCTTAAACCTCTTGAAAGGGTCTTGCAGACCCTCAGGGGTCCACAGACCATACTTTGAGAACTGTCGTTACAGATGAATCACAGGATGTTCTTGGGATTTCAGGGGAGGCAGTTAAAGGGTAGAAAGGCACCCTGAATAGGGGAGAGGGCTTGGATGCAGATGTTACCTGTCTCACATATTTTTTCCTCCCATGGCCACACCTGGAACCCCCCTGCTTTATCTGGGACCCCGATCCTAGGTGAAACTCCTGAATTCCCTACCTTCTAGGTTGGGTCCTGCTCTTTGACCCCCACCTGCTAGCTGGGCCCTCACTTGTTGGGCATTATGCACAGAGTTGCTGGGAATTATGTTTGCCACAAAAGGTGGTCTGCTGCACAGCATGTCCTGTGGCTACACCCCAGCCCCCCACAAGGGACCCTTGATGCTGATGCTGGATTGAATTGAGCAGGAAATGACTATGCTATGTTGCTATAGACCAGAGGCCTCTCTAGAGGCTTCAGATTCTATTATTGGTTCCTGCAGGAACAGACATTGTACAGGCCTCATGCCTGGGCCTGCACAGAAATGCCCCTGGTAGATAGACATAAGCTCCATCTAGTCTTGGAGTATATTCAGGAATAACGGAGCTGTTTCATGTGGGTTATTGGTCCTTGGTGAGCAGGTTGGCAGGTAGCCAGAGGATCCTCTATGGTCAGGAGGAAGAGGAGATCTAAGAAGCTGTACTTTATCTACAAGCTTGCTGAGTTACAGCTCCCGTGTGTAACCTTTACCACTGAAAAAGGCTTTATATCCTCAAACCCTGTTGTCACGGTTTGGTCAATCGCATTGCTGCTCCATGTGTCATCCATGTAGTTCTAAAAACCTGGTCTCATGCCTCCTCTCTCCAGGTTGGTCCCCACTGAATTCTCAGGTTGCTGAGGTTGTATGGACTATTATGATGGCTAGTGCCCTAGGCTAGCCCCCAAAGGCCATCTTATTCATTATGGAGCAGGACCACAGGCCCTTGTTCATGATACCACAGCATCAAAACACTCTCTTTCCTCACTGCTCCTGGGAGAACCTGTGTTCTGAGTCCTCAGTTGGGAGTATTGGGAACACGGGCTGGCACCCATGGGGACAGCTACAGTGTGGGGAGTGGCCATTGGGGCCATTGGTTACCCTCTCCTGAGGCATCAGCGTCACAGTCCCAGAGCAGAACTCCACCCCTGGAGCAGAAGATTGCTTCTGTATTAGCTTAGAAGTCATTTCCTCTGGGAAGCCTCCCGTAGCATCCATTACTCCCTACTGATAGCTCGTGACTGTATTGCAATTTCTTTTTTTTTTTTAAGATTTTATTTATTTGATAGAGAGAGATAGAGAGAGCCAGAGAGCACAAGCAGGGGGAGCAGCAGAGGGAGAGGGAGAAGCAGGCTCTCCGCTGAGCAGGGAGCC